CTCACCCCTGGTTCCCTTTGTAGGATACGGAAATGGGGGTTGGTGGGGAGCCCCCCCCCACTGTGCCCGAGCCCCTGGCCCAAAAGGCAGCATGGCAGGCTCTGTGGAGCCAGGGGGCTCTGTCTGCAGCTGCCCACCAGGAGGAGCTGGGCTCTGGGTGACCCACAACCTCCCTGCTGTGAATCTCCGATGCCGGGGGAGATTCCCCCCGGGTGTAACGCCATTGTCACCACGGGAGGATTCGCACACGCTTGTTCCTGGACGCCTGAGTGTCCGACTGGCCCGGCGTGACCAGTATCACTCGCTAGCCGCGAGCCGGGGAAACCGAGTCAGTTTCCTCTTTGCGGCCCCCAGGGCACCCCGCCCCCAGCGGGCGTTTGGCAAGCGCTCCCACGCTCTGCGGCTCCTCTGGCAGGGAATGTCCCGGGGTGCACTTGCAGGGCACCTGCCTGGGCCCCGTTGACTTGGGAGCATCCGGAGAGACCTCCCTCGAGGCACCCGAGGACAAGCACAGCTGAAATCCTGCCCCCCTGAAATCAACCCAAGTTTTGCAACTGACTTCAGAGGGGCCATGATTTCCTGCCCCGCCCGGCCCGGCGTGCTGCCTGCCAGCTCTCCCCAGGACTCTCCCCGCGGTGCCGGAGAAGGGCCTGGACTCGTGGCTTTGGCTCCGGACAGCCCGGTGCCTTGCAGTCGGGTCGGGGGAGGGGGCATTTCCGCGGCGAGGGCTTTCTGCGGCGTGAAAGGCGCTTTGAGGTTTCCCCGGCGACGTGGGAGGAAGGGGGGTGCGGCTGCACTGTGGGCACGCCGGCAGGCCTCTGAGCTTCCCTGATGTTTCCAGACAGTGAGATCACAGCCTTGCCCCCCCACCCCCATTGTCGCTTGCCGGGCCTGCCAGGGCGCAATGTCAGAGCCCAGAGGCGGAGGGGCCTTGCGGGGCGCTGCCCAGGGAGCAGAGCGCGATTCCTCCATGTGCCCGTCTGGTCCCATTTCCAGTGGCTCCAGCGACCAGGCACGGCCTCGCTCTCCTGTGCTGCAGTTGGCCAGGCGGACGCCGGCGCCTGCGTCGTCCCTCCCCTCCCCTCCAGCCCGTTCCTCCGCGTCGGATGCAGCAGGGCGCCCGGGTCCTTGCAGATCCGCACGCGCTGGCAGCGGGGCCCTCGGCGCGGCTCTCAGGCTGTTACAGGGCTCCTTGGTTCTCTGGCTGAACTCCCAGGAGGCCCCCTGGCCCAGCACAGACCTAGGACCCCCCTCTCCCTGCTTACACGCGCCTCTGCAGCCCATCAGCGAGGGAGGCTCCCGGCCCTGCTCACAGCTCACTCCATCCCGCGCCTGTGCACTGGCTGACCTCAGGGGCTCCCGGGAGCCTGCAAGGTTTGAAAGCAGCAGCTTGGCTCAGTGCAGGTGCTGAGGCAGGCCTGGTAGGATCTCAGCCAAGAGAGGGAGAGGCGGCAGCCCAGGCGAGCTCTGACCCTGGAGCAGGGGTGTGTCAGCCTGGGCTGCCTCCCCCCGTCTTTCCTAAGGCCTTTTCCTTTCCTCGGTTGGCTTTTCTCCTCCTCCTCCCTCTGTCTGCTCCTCCTCATGCTATCGCGCCCCATTTCACCGACTGTGGACCAATGTCCCCTCTAAGCTTTTCCATCTGTGTGCGGGATAAATGTTGTGATGTGCGCCCAGGCATACGCAGATGTGCACCACCTGCAGAAACACCTGCTGCCAGCTGGGGGTGCTTTGCTACGGCACCTGAATCTCTCCTGGGCGGCTGCCCAAGTGCTCAGCTTACAGGGACCCTGTTCCCCAGGCGCAGGTGAGCCCACAGCCTTGATCCTGCTCAAAATCCCCAGCACTAAGGCCCCCACGAGGCTGCTGCCTGTCGGCCCCTCCACACCCGTCTGTGTGTGGGCAGCGTGCGGCCCCACCCGGCCCCTTCCCGGGGGCTTCACCCTCCAACGTGCAGCTCGGACGTGGGACGGGCTGGAGCTGCCGGATGGGAACAAAGCTCCACGCTGGGTCCCAAGCCTTGAGTTCCCTTGGCTCTTCGCCAGCCGTCCGCCCTGGGGCCGGCTCTCTGGAGAGCTCCCTCGGCACCTCGCCGCTGGCCCGGCCCCAGCAGCTGATGCCAATTCCTGAGCAGCCCTGCAAAGGGACGGTGGGAAATGCCGGGCCAGAGTTGGCCTCCCGCTGGTCCCGCACAGCTCTGCTTGACCCTCCCGCCCCGAGAGCGGTGACCTGCCCTGCTCCCGGAAGCATGGACCCACGTGCCTGGCTCTACCTCCGGAGTCGCTTCATTGAGTCCAGGGTTGCTCTGCGCCGCCGGGAAGCGAAGCCGGACCCCACCACAAAGAGGCGGTCTCTGCCCCAAAGGCCATGTTGTAGGTAGAGGGGCAACGCCCAACCCTGCTCCAGTGGGGCTGGCCATAACTGCGCAGTGCTTTGTGCCGTGCAGCCGATGGCTTGCTCGTTAGGCGCAGGCTGTTCAAGTCAGGGCTCAGTGCAATGGCCAGGCACAGCCCCTGATTCGGCAGAGTTTAGAGCGTGGTGCCCTCCCATGACCCACGCAGCATTTCGGTCCCTCCGCTGGAGCCGGGCGATCGCGCTCGCCGGCGTCGACAGGGGGGCTGAGAGAGGGAGCCTTGCTCTCCATCACATGGCGCTTGCCTGGGTGACCCGCCCCCTGAACGGCATTTGATCCAGCCCCTGACGCGCACCCTCTATTCGCGGCCAGGAAAGACACCCAGCGGCAGACTTGTGCCAGGGTTCTGAGCCGCTGGTAGTTGTCCGACGCACACACGGGAGCCCAGCCCAATGTCGTTTGCCATCTGGGGGTATTACTCATGAGCTTATCCCAAAATGCCCCCTGCAGGGACAGTGCCGACTGAGTCACATCCGCATTGCCAGGCGCTTTTTGTTCACTTCTTATGGGCATTATTATTTGTGCATTATTTTCTCTGGAGTCTGGACATTGACTATCCCCTTTATTCGGCTCTGGTGAGGCCACATCTGGAGGATTGTGTCCAGTTCTGGGCCCCCCACTATAGAAAGGGTGTGGGCATATTGGAGAGGGTCCACTGGAGGGCGACCAAAATGATTAGGGGGCTGGAGCACATGACCTATGAGAAGAGACTGAGGGATTTGGGTTTGTTCAGTCTGCAGAAGAGAAGAGTGAGGGGGGATTTGAGAGCAGCCTTCAACTTCCTGAAGGGGGGTTCCAAAGAGGCTGGAGAGAGGCTGTTCTCAGTGGGGGCAGAACAAGGAGCAATGGGCTCAAGTTACAGTGGGGGAGGTCTAGGTTGGAGATTAGGAAAAACTATTTCCCTAGGTGGGTGGGAAGCGCTGGGCTGGGTTCCCTAGGGCGGGGGTCGAATCTCCATCCCTGGGGGTGTTTTAAGTCTCGGCTTGACAAAGCCCTGGCTGGGCTGATTGAGTTGGGCTTGGTCCTGCCTTGGGCAGGGGGCTGGACTCGATGGCTTCTGAGGTCTCTTCCAGCTCTGTGAT